GGAGTCAGCCTCCACCACATCACTTCCAAATGCATTTCATTTGTCAACCACTCTGACACTAAAAAAGTTCTTTCTAATATCCCTGTGGCTCATTTGGACGCTCAGTTTCCATCTGTATCCCCTTGTGCATGTGCCCCTTGTGTTAAATAGCCTGTCTTTATCTACCCTATCAATTCCCTTGAGAATCTTCAATGTAGTGATCATGTCCCCCCTAACTCTTCTGTCTTCCAGCGAAGTGAGGTTCAATTCCCGCAGTCTCTCCTCGTAGCTCATACCTCTCAGCTCGGGTACTAGTCTGGTGGCAAATCTTTGAACCTTTTCCAGTTTAGTCTTATCCTTGACTAGATATGGACACTATGCTGGGGCTGCATACTCCAGAATTGGCCTGACATATGTGGTATACAAAGTTCTGAATGATTCTTTACACAAATTTCTGAATGCCGTTCGTATGTTGGCCAGCCTGGCATATGCCGCTGATGTTATCCTCTTGATATATGCTGCAGGAGACAGGTCTGGCGTGATATCAACTCCCAAGTGTTTTTCTTTCTCTGACTCCTGAAAGATTTCCTCTCCCAGATGATACCTTGTATTTGGCCTCCTGCTCCCTACACCTATCTCCATTACATTACATTTGGTTGGGTTAAACTCTAACAACCACTTGTTCGACCATTCCTTCAGTTTGTCTAGGTCTTCTTGAAGCCTCAAACAGTCCTTTTCTGTCTTAATCCTTTTCGTAATTTTGGCATCGTCCGCAAACATTGAGAGAAATGAATCTATTCCCTCCGGGAGATCATTTACGTATATCAGAAACAAGATAGGACCGAGTACAGAGCCCTGTGGGACTCCACTGGTGACTTCACGCCAATCGGAGGTCTCACCCCTCACCTTAACCCTCTGCTTCCTATTGCTTAGGTACTCCCTTATCCACTGGAGCACCTTACCAGCTACACATTCCTGTCTCTCCAGCTTACGTACCAGCCTCTTATGCGGTACTGTGTCAGAGGCTTTCCGACAATCCAAGAAAATGCAGTCTGCCCAGCCCTCTCTTTCTTGCTTAATCTGTGTCACCTGGTCATTGAATTCTATTAAGCCAGTCAGGCAAGATTTACCCTCCCTGAACCCATGTTGTCGATTTGTCACGAAGTCCCTTCTCTCCAGATGTGCTACCAGGTTTTTTCTCACGATCTTCTCCATCACCTTGCATGGTATAAAAGTCAAGGATACTGGCCTATAGCTCAGTGCCTCTTGCCTGTCGCCCTTTTTGTATATTGGGACCACATTCGCCGTCTTCCATACTTCTGGTAGGTCTCCCGTCTTCAGTGACCTACTATACACTATGGAGAGTGGCAAGCAAAGTGCCTCTGCACACTCTTTCAGTACCCATGGCGAGATCCCGTCTGGACCAACAGCCTTTCTAACATCCAGATCCAGCAGGTGTCTCTTGATCTCCTCTCTCGTAATTTCGAACCTTTCCAAGGCCGCCTGGTTTACGTCCCTTTCTCCTAGCACAGTGACCTCACCTTGTTCTGTTGTGAAGACCTCTTGGAACCTCTTGTTGAGTTCATCACACACCTCTTTGTCATTCTCTGTATACCTGTCCTCGCCTGTTCTAAGTTTCACTACCTGTTCTTTCACTGTTGTTTTCCTTCTGATGTGACTGTGGAGTAGCTTTGGTTCAGTCTTGGCTTTGTTTGCTATATCATTTTCATAACTTTTCTCTGCTTCTCTTCTCACCCTGACATACTCATTCCTGGTTCTGTGGTATCTCTCTCTGCTTTCTGGTGTTCTGTTATTCCGGAAGTTCCTCCACGCCCTTTTGTTCAGTTTCTTTGCTTCCATACATGCCCTATTATACCATGGATTCTTCTTTTGTTTCTCGGATTTTTCCTTTTGGGCCGGGATGTATCTGCTTACTGCCTCCTGACACTTTTGGGTGACATAGTCCATCATATCTTGTACAGACTTAGCTCTGGGGTCTGTGTCCCAAGGTATTTCCCTTAGGAAGCTTCTCATCTCCTCATAATTTCCCTTTCGGTATGCCAGCCTTTTGTTTCCTAGTTCTTTTTCGGGGGGGGGGGGGGATAATTCCTAGCTCTACCAGGTACTCAAAGTTCAATACACTGTGATCACTCATTCCCAAGGGCGCTTCCATCTTAACTTCCCTTATATCCCACTCATTTAGGGTAAATATCAGATCAAGCATTGCTGGTTAATCCTCTCTTCTCTTTCTTGTTGGATCCTTGATGTGCTGGCTTAGAAAGGTTCTTGTTGCCACGTCCAGCAGCTTAGCTCTCCATGTTTCTGGTCCTCCATGCGGGTCTCTGTTCTCCCAATCTATCTTCCCATGGTTGAAGTCTCCCATGATTAGTAGTCCAGATCCATTCCTGCTAGCAACAGAAGCTGCTCTCTCTATTATGTTAATGGTGGCCATATTGTTTCTATCATATTCCTGTCTGGGTCTTCTGTCATTTGGTGGTGGATTATATATGACTACGACTATAATTTTTTGCCCTCCAGTTGTTATTGTTCCTATTATGTAGTCACTGAAATCTTCACATCCCTGAACAACCAACTCCTCAAAATCCCAGCCTTTTCTTACCAGCAGAGCTACACCACCACCACCTCTTCCTTCTCTCTCTTTCCTCATAACATAATAGTCCTGTGGGAACACTGCATTTGTTATTGTTTTCGTTAGCTTTGTTTTTGTGGGAGCTATTATGTCTGGGTTTTCCTCTAGTACCCATTCTCCAAGTTCATTTGCCTTATTTGTAATACCATCTATGTTAGTGTACATTGCCTTGAGGCTCACTTTCTTCTGTCCCTTCTCAAATCTCCTCCTTGGTGAATGTTATGCTGGTGGAGGAAGCTGTGCCATGGGTGTGAGGATTTGTGAGGTGGATACCAGGGTTGCAGTGGATACTGGGATGAAGGGTGCAGGGGTCAAGTGAAGGGTTAAGGACAACGAGGGTATGGGGTGAACGGGGCGGGAGGACAGGAAGGAAAGGGGGGTTTTCTATGCAGAGGAGGGTGGTGGGGTTGCCCTCCCTGCTCGTGTTACTGGGTATCTGGTTGTGGGTTCCCGCCTCGCCTCTGGGGGTGATGTGTTGGGAGCTGTGGTTTCCTGGTTTTCCCCTCTCGCCCTGCGCTTCTTCCTTGCTTCTGCCACCATGGCCCTCTCCTCCCTCGTCATGTCCCTCTGGAGGAATACTTTTTTGAATTCTCCAACATGTTGCAGGTGGCTTTTCTTTGTTAGAATCGTGTCCTTTGTGTTCTCGTTTGAAAACACTATCTTTAACACACGGTCTCGGTCTTTTTTGTACCAGCCTAACCTGAAAACCTTCTCAATGCTATGCTCAGGCCCTTCCATGTCTAGTGCCTTCAGTATTTCATTCACTGCCGCTTTGTCCTTATCATTCCACTCTTTCCTATTAGAGCCTTCCTGCTCTTTAATACCTACAGCTACCACTGCTCTTTTCCTTTCCAGCAGCTGGCTAGTGGAGTGTGCCGCTTCCTGTGAGGTGGCTGCTTTCTTGGCTACCTCCATCACTGCAGACATTACTTCAGAGTTGTTGTTTTTTTGTTGTTTGCATTTCTGCAAATGTTGCTTTTAATGTGGCATTCTCTTCCAAAGTAATATTACCACCACCTCCCTGAGTGGTTATCTGAGTCTCAGCATCGATACTGTTCTCTTTGAGGGCTCTAATCTCCTCCTTTGCTGCTGTCAGCTCTCTTTTTAGGTTGCTTATTTCATTCTTCATTTCCTGCATTTCACTCTTGATGTCCTCCAGAAACTGGCGAACATTTCCTTCATTTCGTCGCCTGAACTTTTCCCTGTTCCCCTGCTGCTTCTGGCTGTCATGCTTGACCCTGTTCCTAGTTGTGCCGTGATAGGATTCGTCAGAAGGGCAGAGCGGGGTGGGGGAGAGAGAGAGAGAGAGAGAGAGAGAGAGAGAGAGAGAGAGAGAGAGAGAGAGAGAGAGAGAGAGAGAGGGAGGGAGAGAGAGATAAACAGAGAGAGAGGAGAAAGTGGGAGAGAGAGAGAGAAAGAGGAGAGAGAGGGGGAGAGTATGTGTAAGGGGGATTCGGGGGACTGGGGGTTGGGGGGACGTTGGTGGCGACCAGGTCAGGTCATGTCAGATGAGGGGTAAGAGAGGAGGTGGGGTATAGTAGGGGCTTGGCTCTTTCCAGAAAAGGTGTTAATCTTTTTTTTCCCTGACTGGACGTTTGTGTGTGCGTTTTTGTGTGTGCGTGCGTGCATTCGTATGTGGGCGTGCGTGCGTGCGCGAGCGTGCGTGCGTGCGCGAGCGTGCTGCGTGTGTCACGGGATCCCTTAAGTGTTACCTCTACCTAAATGAGCCACTTTGAGATTTTACATATATATGATATCCTGAACAAGAATTTGACAATATTTTACCTCACACTGTACACCTGATTACTTGACCAGAGAGGGGTACATACCAGTCTTCCTCCCGCTCACACAACTAGATGAGTAATGATGATGTATGGTTGACGATGGTGCTCCGTCGTCGCCTTTCCACTTGGTGATTCTCTAAGTGCTAGTAGATTGACGATGTCGATTCTTTTCTACACAAATCTCTGGAGTCACAGTCACCACCCAACAAACACAGTCAGCAGATCTACGGCAGGTCGTCTCACCTGGCCGTCAGGTCAGGTCAGGTCAGGTCACTACTCGGTCCTCCACACTGTATGCACCGGTGATTCCACTAGCTACACTTTGGTTTTTTTGCACTATCGCTAGCGATATGACTATGCTATGTAACACCCTGCTAGCTACATACTGCGAGAGGCCAAATACTATGATCTAGCCTCAATAATCCTTCAATGTCCCGAGAAATTGACGAATATCCGCGGACCTCGCTAATCGCGTGTGTCTCCTACCGTCGCTGGCCTACTACTCATGTGTGTGTGTGTGTGTGTACCTTCAGAAACATAATTATCATTATAGCATTACCGGAACATTCGATGCTTGCCTCCTGCAGGTGGTGCCAGGAAGTGGGCGAGGCTGGCAGCTGTTCCGGGTGGAGGGTCGCCGCCGGGGGAGCCCAGGCGGCGACCTGCGCTCCGTCGCGCCCCTCGACTACGAGAACCCCAGCCACAGACGAGGCTTCCGCTTCAGAGTCCAAGTGACAGACATGGTATGTCTACCCGCCCACCCCCGTGCCTATCGCAGCGTTTGTGAGGCACATTATTGACTCAGGCCGCAGATAAAGCGTGCTGAAATAACATGTTTGTATTCAAATGTGCCACATATCTCTCTCTCATTTTCCTCGAACGAGGACCTGGGCTGGAAGGCTGCCTTTCATCAAGCAGGCTGTTGACCTACTATACACATATGTATATATGTATGTATATATATATATATATATATATATATATATATATATATATATATATATATATATATATATATATATATATATCCACAGAGAAATATGAAATGAGGTGAACGTTTCGGCTTTGTTAAAGCCTTTGTCAACACCAGACTGACTAAGGAGAAGGGAGAAGGGGGGAAGATATATAGGCCGACACCTGACCACCCCATCCCAAGGGTTGGTCAGGTGTAATTAACCAAAAACAGGTATAGCTTAGCTTAGAATGGTCAAAGAGGATTAAGCGGTCAGAGAATAAGGATGAAAGATTAAAGAAAAGCCTCATGAACACACAATATATGAATATACAATTATAATGAGACATTGTAAGCCTCTCTATCAGAGTTGTTTCTTAAACTGTTGTGCAATATTATAACTTAAAAATGGATCAAGTTTGTACATTCCAGTACTAACATTAAGAAGATTTGGACACTGACTGATTAGAGCAGACTCAATCAAATTCCGTTCCACGAAATCCCCACAATTGGTAATGCTTTTTGCCCCATTCCAGTTAATATTGTGATCGCATAAACTCGTATGTAGATACAATGCATTAGACGTTTGGGCATTATATATATATATATATATATATATATATATATATATATATATATATATATATATATATATATATATATATATGCGGAAAATCCACAGAGAAATATGAAATGAGGTGAACGTTTCGGCTTTGTTAAAGCCTTTGTCAACACCAGACTGACTAAGGAGAAGGGAGAAGGGGGGAAGATATATAGGCCGACACCTGACCACCCCATCCCAAGGGTTGGTCAGGTGTAATTAACCAAAAACAGGTATAGCTTAGCTTAGAATGGTCAAAGAGGATTAAGCGGTCAGAGAATAAGGATGAAAGATTAAAGAAAAGCCTCATGAACACACAATATATGAATATACAATTATAATGAGACATTGTAAGCCTCTCTATCAGAGTTGTTTCTTAAACTGTTGTGCAATATTATAACTTAAAAATGGATCAAGTTTGTACATTCCAGTACTAACATTAAGAAGATTTGGACACTGACTGATTAGAGCAGACTCAATCAAATTCCGTTCCACGAAATCCCCACAATTGGTAATGCTTTTTGCCCCATTCCAGTTAATATTGTGATCGCATAAACTCGTATGTAGATACAATGCATTAGACGTTTGGGCAGTTCTAATACTATAAGCATGTTGTGACAACCGCAATTGTAAGGACTTTCCTGTTTGTCCAAGGTACACAGAATCACAATCATTGCAGGGAATCGAATACACACAACCTGCTGTATCAGGGGAGTTTTTTATTAAATTGGATTTGATCGTACTATTAGTGAACACCAAATTTATATTAAGTTTCTTAAAAATCAGAGACAATTTTTCAAGTCCACTCGCATAAGGTACCACCAATGAGTTAATAATTTTTGGTTTCGCTTTAGGGACGTGATTATAAAACGTACGCTTGGCTTGTACAAACGAGAAATCCAAAAACCTCTTAGGATATTGTAAACTCTTCCCAATTTCATATATTTTAGCAATCTCTTCATCAAAAAACTCAGGGCTGCAAACCCTCAAAGCTCGTAGAAACATTCCTGAAAATACTGCCTGTTTAACTTTACTATGATGATTCGAATAAAAATGAACATACGACCCCACGTTGGTAGGTTTCCTATACACATTAAATTTGAACTTTCTAGTGACTCTATGAATCATAATGTCCAAAAACGGAAGAGTACCATTCTCCTCAGTCTCACAAGTGAATTTTATTGAAGGTACCAAAGAATTGAGTTCATTAAGAAAAACTATCTGGTCTTTGTCACACGGCCATAAGCACAAAATATCATCAACATACCTATACCAAACCACATTAGCCGGCATAATCCTGGATAAGATTTTTGTTTCAAAGAATTCCATATACAAATTGCTTAAAACTGGGGACAGGGGATTGCCCATCGCCATACCAAATGTTTGTTTGAAAAATTTTCCATTAAAACTAAAATAATTGTCTTTTATACACAATTTAATAAGTTCCAATACTTTATTGGTCTGCAAGCTCAAATTATATTTAGGCAGTTCCTCACGTAGAAATTCTAACAGATCATCAACAGGAACTTTAGTGAATAAAGAGGTCACATCGAAACTTATAAGTTTAAAATCAAAATTTAAATTCAGTGTGGATAGCTTATTAACTAAGTCCACATTGTTTGTCAAGTGTGAGTTGGAAATAGTACCAACTATAGGGGACAAAACTTTGACTAACCACTTAGAGAGTTTATAAGCCGCCGAACCAATTGAACTAATAATCGGCCTTGCCGGATTATATGGCTTTTGAGTTTTTATAAGACCATACATGTAAGGAAGAGAGGGGGATCGACTTGTTAGCCTAGATATCAACTCTTTATCGCCTTTACACACGGTTTTAAGAGTTTTGTTAAAATGTGCAATCACTTTTTCAGTAGGATCTCTGTTAACCAATAGATAAGTATCCCTGTCTTCCAAGAGTAACTCCATTTTTCGGACATAGTCATCTTTATTCATAATAACTACTGCATTTGACTTATCAGCCTTGGTAATATGTAATGAACTATCTTTTTTGAGATTTTTGAACGCATGAACAAATCGACTTGGACAATTAGGAACAGAATTGTTAAGTAAAACGCCATACATCATACCTTTGCACACATTAATATCTTCAACTGAGACATTGCTATGATCTTCAAGATTGCTGAAACCTTTGGCAATATCTACATAATTGACTGTTCCGTTAGATGTGGCAAAGCTCAGGCCATATCCTAATGCAGTAATCGTGTCATTATCAAGCTGTCTATCCGAGAGGTTTATAACAATATCCCGGTTGGAGTGTTTATTCCAGTCACTTTGTTGAATAAGTTTCTTTACAATGTCTGAGGCTTACAATGTCTCATTATAATTGTATATTCATATATTGTGTGTTCATGAGGCTTTTCTTTAATCTTTCATCCTTATTCTCTGACCGCTTAATCCTCTTTGACCATTCTAAGCTAAGCTATACCTGTTTTTGGTTAATTACACCTGACCAACCCTTAGGATGGGGTGGTCAGGTGTCGGCCTATATATCTTCCCCCCTTCTCCCTTCTCCTTAGTCAGTCTGGTGTTGACAAAGGCTTTAACAAAGCCGAAACGTTCACCTCATTTCATATTTCTCTGTGGATTTTCCGCATAAAATGATCAGTGTTTTGTGATCGTCAATTGCATCAATGGATACCACGTGCCAATTTCTTACCTTCTCCTCTCTCTACCCTTCCCTTAAACCTTTTGTTACTAAACTTCGTTCTGCTTTAGTGAAATCTCATTCCTTAAAAATTCGTCTTCGTTTTCTTCGAAAATGCCTCAGTGAACAAGTGCTTCCCCGTTCATTATTACCCAACAGCGTTCTTAAATTGTCAGATCAGCCGTTTGATGAGATACCCCGCATAGTGCTTATGAAAAACATCGATTTACTTAAATTTGAAGTTCGTGAATGTTTTAAAGTTGTGAATAACTGTAAGTACGCTTTTCTCCAAGCCATTCCGCCTGAGTGGAACCGTTGTATGATGGATTACTGTTATACTACTTTGAGGTCTACCTGCAGAAAGGTGAGTACTAAACTTGATTTCAAATTAAAGAAACTTATTCAACAAAGTGACTGGAATAAACACTCCAACCGGGATTTTGTTATAAACCTCTCGGATAGACAGCTTGATAATGACACGATTACTGCATTAGGATATGGCCTGAGCTTTGCCGCATCTAACGGAACAGTCAATTATGTAGATATTGCCAAAGGTTTCAGCAATCTTGAAAAGTATAGCAATGTCTCAGTTGAAGATATTAATGTGTGCAAAGGTATGATGTATGGCGTTTTGCTTAACAATTCTGTTCCTAATTGTCCAAGTCGATTTGTTCATGCGTTCAAAAATCTCAAAAAAGATAGTTCATTACATATTACCAAGGCTGATAAGTCAAATGCAGTAGTTATTATGAATAAAGATGACTATGTCCGAAAAATGGAGTTACTCTTGGAAGACAGGGATACTTATCTATTGGTTAACAGAGATCCTACTGAAAAAGTGATTGCACATTTTAACAAAACTCTTAAAACCGTGTGTAAAGGCGATAAAGAGTTGATATCTAGGCTAACAAGTCGATCCCCCTCTCTTCCTTACATGTATGGTCTTATAAAAACTCATAAGCCATATAATCCGGCAAGGCCGATTATTAGTTCAATTGGTTCGGCGGCTTATAAACTCTCTAAGTGGTTAGTCAAAGTTTTGTCCCCTATAGTTGGTACTATTTCCAACTCACACTTGACAAACAATGTGGACTTAGTTAATAAGCTATCCACACTGAATTTAAATTTTGATTTTAAACTTATAAGTTTCGATGTGACCTCTTTATTCACTAAAGTTCCTGTTGATGATCTGTTAGAATTTCTACGTGAGGAACTGCCTAAATATAATTTGAGCTTGCAGACCAATAAAGTATTGGAACTTATTAAATTGTGTATAAAAGACAATTATTTTAGTTTTAATGGAAAATTTTTCAAACAAACATTTGGTATGGCGATGGGCAATCCCCTGTCCCCAGTTTTAAGCAATTTGTATATGGAATTCTTTGAAACAAAAATCTTATCCAGGATTATCCCGGCTAATGTGGTTTGGTATAGGTATGTTGATATTTTGTGCTTATGGCCGTGCAACAAAGACCAGATAGTTTTTCTTAATGAACTCAATTCTTTGGTACCTTCAATAAAATTCACTTGTGAGACTGAGGAGAATGGTACTCTTCCGTTTTTGGACATTATGATTCATAGAGTCACTAGAAAGTTCAAATTTAATGTGTATAGGAAACCTACCAACGTGGGGTCGTATGTTCATTTTTATTCGAATCATCATTGTAAAGTTAAACAGGCAGTATTTTCAGGAATGTTTCTACGAGCTTTGAGGGTTTGCAGCCCTGAGTTTTTTGATGAAGAGATTGCTAAAATATATGAAATTGGGAAGAGTTTACAATATCCTAAGAGGTTTTTGGATTTCTCGTTTGTACAAGCCAAGCGTACGTTTTATAATCACGTCCCTAAAGCGAAACCAAAAATTATTAACTCATTGGTGGTACCTTATGCGAGTGGACTTGAAAAATTGTCTCTGATTTTTAAGAAACTTAATATAAATTTGGTGTTCACTAATAGTACGATCAAATCCAATTTAATAAAAAACTCCCCTGATACAGCAGGTTGTGTGTATTCGATTCCCTGCAATGATTGTGATTCTGTGTACCTTGGACAAACAGGAAAGTCCTTACAATTGCGGTTGTCACAACATGCTTATAGTATTAGAACTGCCCAAACGTCTAATGCATTGTATCTACATACGAGTTTATGCGATCACAATATTAACTGGAATGGGGCAAAAAGCATTACCAATTGTGGGGATTTCGTGGAACGGAATTTGATTGAGTCTGCTCTAATCAGTCAGTGTCCAAATCTTCTTAATGTTAGTACTGGAATGTACAAACTTGATCCATTTTTAAGTTATAATATTGCACAACAGTTTAAGAAACAACTCTGATAGAGAGGCTTACAATGTCTCATTATAATTGTATATTCATATATTGTGTGTTCATGAGGCTTTTCTTTAATCTTTCATCCTTATTCTCTGACCGCTTAATCCTCTTTGACCATTCTAAGCTAAGCTATACCTGTTTTTGGTTAATTACACCTGACCAACCCTTGGGATGGGGTGGTCAGGTGTCGGCCTATATATCTTCCCCCCTTCTCCCTTCTCCTTAGTCAGTCTGGTGTTGACAAAGGCTTTAACAAAGCCGAAACGTTCACCTCATTTCATATTTCTCTGTGGATTTTCCGCATAAAATGATCAGTGTTTTGTGATCGTCAATTGCATATATATATATATATATATATATATATATATATATATATATATATGTCGTACCTAGTAGCCAGAACGCACTTCTCGGCCTACTATGCAATGCCCGATTATCCTAATAAGCCAAGTTTTCCTGAATTAATATATTTTCTCTAATTTTTTTCTTATGAAAAGATACAGCTACCCATTTCATTATGTATGAGGTCAATTTTTTTTTATTGGAGTTAAAATTAACGTAGATATATGACCGAACCTAACCAACCCTACCTAACCTATCTTTATAGGTTAGGTTAGGTTAGGTAGCAGAAAAAGTTAGGTTAGGTTAGGTAGGTTAGGTAGTCGAAAAACAATTAATTCATGAAAACTTGGCTTATTAGGCAAATTGGGCCTTGCATAGTAGGCAGAGAAGTGCGTTCTGGCTACTAGGTACGACATATATATATATATATATATATATATATATATATATATATATATATATATATATATATATATATATATATATATATATATATATATATATATATATATATATATTACCTCTATCCTCGTACCTTGTGCCCGCATACTGCGTTATTTACATCGCTAAATAGCACATACGTAATGTTGTTTTTGAAAGCTCGCAAACACAATTAACGATCAACGAAATTTTGATAAAAACCGGAAAAATTAATTTCTCATTTAATTTTTTCGTATGATATAGGGACTTATTAAATTACGGGGGAGGAAATTTATTTATATAATTATTTATTAAATTTTTTTATTGATGATCATGTTGTTTATCATAGCATTTAATATGTACTGATAAGCAGATATCGGTACTGTACTGAATATCAGCTTGTATATACTGTACTGTATATCAGCTTATATATACTGTACTGTATATCAGTTTGTATATACTGTACTGTATATCAGCTTCTACGTACAGTACTGTATACTGTACTGTATAACAGCTTGTTTAATGACCGTTCTTTCTCAGTCGATTTAAGTCGTCTGTATCTTGCATGTGACAAGTGATGGCTGTCTCGGCTCTCTGTAAACATTACCTGCCTCCACCACACACACACAAAAAAATATGCTCATGTATCCGTCTCCATCACACACTTGCCATAAGAATATATATCACTGGAACTCAGCATATTTCCGCCCTTGGAACTGAGAACGCCTAAAACTAGTCAGCAAAGAAGACACCTGTCTTCCCTTCTCACATGTTTTACGTCAGGGGAACGACGGCTGGGAAGACAAGTATCACGTTGACGGTACCTGGGTGAACCTGCGACTGGTGGACGACAACGACAACACCCCCACCTTCAGCAGCGACCAGACTCACCTCACCCTGCCGGAGGACACGCCCCCGGGCACCCTCCTCGCCACCTTCGTCGCCCGGGACAGAGATGGGGTGAGTGATCCCCAGAAACCACGAGTTTCCGTTGTTGATCATCGCTTTCCCGTTTTCCGTTTGAATAGATCTGTTAACATCTTTCATATTTTAAATGATTTAACTTATGTCTGTGATACTTATCATTTTTACCATTCACCACTTACCCTGATTCATTCATTTTTTCTTTACGTTGTTCATCATATTATATAATATTATATATTATTATGTTATATATATTATAATAATATACTTCACATTATTTTAATATATAATTAAATAATATAATAATATGAAGAGGCATGAGCCTCAGCAACCCTCCCCTGTCCCCCAGTCCTCCCCACCATTCCCTCCTCCCCTGTCCCCTCGTCCTCCCCACCATTCACTACCCACCATCCCCTCGTCCTCTCCATCATTCCACACTCCTCCGTCCCCTCGTCCTCCCCACCATTGTCCACTCCCTCGTCTGATGCATTCCGAAATGATCCGATGTTCCCATCAGACAAATGGAAACATCAAATGATCTGATGTCCCCATCATTGAAAAACAAGAACAGTAAAAAAACGAAATAAAAACATTCAAGAAAATAAAAAATAAACTCTACTCACAAAATGATGGTATAGTATACAACACAGCTCAATTCCAACACAAGGTCACACAAATTAATTAAATAGAAATTAAAATAAATCAAAATCTATGAAAATTCAATTTATCAATGCAATCGGAAAGATTGAAAAGTAATCGTAACATATTTAGTATAGCGTGTGTTGCTTATACGGGCAACAGAGAGCGCTGTTTTCCCCAAAAAACATACTTTTTACCAGTCAAAGGGGTGGCATCTATATAGTAGGTATATAAAAACACGCGTGTATTCAAATGCAACATTGAGTCAAAATTTCAAAGCAATTGGTATAGAGGTTTCGGAGATTTCACTCATGAGAGGCATAGTTTTTTTTTAAAAAGCCTTTTTTTACCTGTCACATACTTGACATCTATTTAACATGTATATAGAAACACGCTCAGCTACGAATGGAATGCCGTATCAAAATTTCAAAGCAATCAGTGAAGAACTTTCGGAGATTAGCGATTTTGAACATTTACATTTTATTTATATAGTTTACTAGCTGTACCCGGCCACGCGTTGCTGTGGCTGAGCAACGCATGTGCGTTGCTGAGCCACAGCAACCTTCCCCTATCTCCCAGTCCTGCCCACCATTCCCCATGTCTTGTCCCCTAATCCTTCCAACGATTCCTCACGCACCCGTCCCCTCTTCTAACCATTCCCCACTCCCCTGTCCCGTAGTCCTTCCCACTATTCCCCCCCTCCACCATCCCTTTGTCCTCCCTAACATTCCCCACTCCAGCGTCCGCTTGTTCACCTAACCACTTCCCACTACACCGTCCCCTCCTCCTCCCCACCATCCCCAACTCCCCCGTTCCTTCGTCCTCCCCACTATTACCCCCCTTCCCTGTCCCCTCGTCCTCCACATCCTCTCCAACTCCCCCCCCCCCCCTTTCCCCCCAACATTCCCCACTCCCTCGTTTGATGCATTCCCAAACGATCTGATATTCCCATTAGAAAATTGGGAACATTAAATGATCTGATGCTCCCATTAATGAAATATAAGAAAAACATTTAAAAAACGAAATAAAAAATGAAAAAAATACAAAAATAAACTATACTCAGGAAATGAACGGTATAGTAAACAACACAGCTCAAGTAAAACTCAATGTCACTCAAAATATTTAAATCAAAATGAAAATCAATCGAAATCTATGAAAATTATATATGTCAATGCAATCAGAAACACTGAAATGGAATCGTAACACATTTAGTATAGCATGTGTGGCTCTTACATGCAACAGATGGCGCTGTTTCTTAAAAAATTAACGATTTTTTTCCTGTCACAGGTGTGGCATCTATACTTATTCTTACGAAACGAATGGTATGGTAAACAACACAGCTCAATTTCAATGCAATGTCACACAAAATAATTAAATCAAAATGAAAATAAATTGCAATTTTTGAAAATTCAATTTATCATGGTAATTGGGAACATTCCAATGGAATCGTAATATATTTAGTATAGCGTGAGTTGCTATTATGTGCAACAGATGGAGCTGTTTTTTTTTTAAATGTTTTTAACTGTCACAGGTGTGGCATCAATATAGTCGATATATAAAAACACGCGTGTATTCGAATGGAACGTTGTATAAAAATTTCTAAGCAATCGGTGAAGAACTCTTTGAGATTACAGCGTGTATTGTTCTTTCGTCTAACAGATGGCGCTGTTTTTCAAAAAAGCATGTTTTTTTCCTGACACAGGTGTGGCATGCATATAGTAAGAATATAAAAACATGCGCCTATTCGAATGCAACATTGTGTCAAAATTTCAAAGCAATCGGTAAAGAGGTTTCAGAGATTTCCCTCCCATGAAAAACACTTGAAAAAAAAAGTTTTTCGAAAAAAGTATGTTTTTTTTCCGTCACAGACGTGAAATCTATATAATATGTATATAAAAATGGGATGGAATTTATGGGTAGGAGGAAGGTTATGTAACGGCAAATTTACACCTGCGGTGTCCCTGACCACATGGACACCGGCGGCGCCCCTGACCACATGGACACTGGTGGCGCCCCTGACCACATGGACACTGGCGGCGCCCCTGACCACATGGACACTGGTGGCGCCCCTGACCACATGGACACTGGCGGCGCCCCTGACCACATGGACACTGGCGGCGCCCCTGACCACATGGACACTGGTGGCGCCCCTGACCACATGGACACTGGCGGCGCCCCTGACCACATGGACACTGGCGGCGCCCCTGACCACATGGACACTGGCGGCGCCCCTGACCACATGGGCACTGGCGGCGCCCCTGACCACATGGACACTGGCGGCGCCCCTGACCACATGGACACTGGCGGCGCCCCTGACCACATGGACACTGGCGGCGCCCCTGACCACATGGACACTGGCGGCGCCCCTGACCACATGGACACTGGTGGCGCCCCTGACCACATGGACACTGGTGGCGCCCCTGACCACATGGGCACTGGCGGCGCCCCTGACCACATGGACACTGGCGGCGCCCCTGACTACATGGGCACTGGCGGCGCCCCTGACCACATGGACACTGGCGGCGCAACCGACCACATGAGCACTGGCGGCGCCCCAGACCACATGGACACTGGCGGCGCCCCTGACCACATGGACACTGGCGGCGCCCCTGACCACATGGGCACTGGTGGCGCCCCTGACCACATGGGCACTGGCGGCGCCCCTGGCCACATGGACACTGGTGGCGCCCCTGACCACATGGACACTGGCGGCGCCCCTGACCACATGGACACTGGCGGCGCCCCTGACCACATGGACACCGGCGACGCCCCTGACCACATGAGCACTGGCGGCGCCCCTGACCACATGGACACTGGCGGCGCCCCTGACCACATGGACACTGGCGGCGCCCCTGACCACATGGGCACTGGTGGCGCCCCTGACCACATGAGCACTGGCGGCGCCCCTGACCACATGGGAACTGGCGACGCCCCTGGCCACATGGACACTGGTGGCGCCCCTGACCACATGGGCACTGGCGGCGCCCCTGGCCACATGGACACTGGTGGCGCCCCTGACCACATGGACACTGGCGGCGCCCCTGACCACATGAGCACTGGCGGCGCCCCTGACCACATGGACACTGGCGGCGCCCCTGACCACATGGACACTGGTGGCGCCCCTGACCACATGGGCACTGGCGGCGCCCCTGACCACATGGACACCGGCGACGCCCCTGACCACAAGGACACTGGCGGCGCCCCTGACCACATGAGCACTGGCGGCGCCCCTGACCACATGAGCACCGGCGGCGCCCCTGACCACATGGACACTGGCGGCGCCCCTGACCACATGGACACTGGCGGCGCCCCTGACCACATGAGCACTGGCGGCGCCCCTGACCACATGGGCACTGGTGGCGCCCCTGACCACATGAGCACTGGCGGCGCCCCTGACCACATGAGCACCGGCGACGCCCCTGACCACATGGGCACTGGTGGCGCCCCTGACCACATGAGCACTGGCGGCGCCCCTGACCACATGGACACTGGCGGCGCACCTGACCACATGGACACTGGCGGCGCCCCTGACCACATGGACACTGGCGGCGCCCCTGACCACATGGGCACTGGTGGCGCCCCTGACCACATGGACACTGGCGGTGCTCCTGACCACATGGACACTGGCGGCGCCCCTGACCACATGGGAACTGGCGACGCCCCTGACCACATGGACACTGGCGGCGCCCCTGACCACATGGACACTGGCGGCGCCCCTGACCACATGGACACTGGCGGCGCCCCTGACCACATGAGCACCGGCGACGCCCCTGACCACATGGGCACTGGTGGCGCCCCTGACCACATGAGCACCGGCGACGCCCCTGACCACATGGGCACTGGTGGCGCCCCTGACCACATGGACACTGGCGGTGCCCCTGACCACATGGACACTGGCGGCGCCCCTGACCACATGGGAACTGGCGACGCCCCTGACCACATGGACACTGGCGGCGCCCCTGACCACATGGACACTGGCGGCGCCCCTGACCACATGGACACTGGCGGCGCCCCTGACCACATGGACACTGGCGGTGCCCCTGACCACATGGGCACTGGCGGCGCCCCTGACCACATGGGCACTGGTGGCGCCCCTGACCACATGGACACTGGTGGCGCCCCTGACCACATGGGAACTGGCGACCCCCCTGACCACATGGACACTGGCGGCGCCCCTGACCACATGGGAACTGGTGGCGCCCCTGACCACATGGACACTGGCGGCGCCCCTGACCACATGGACTCATGGCGGCGCCCCTGACCACATGGGCACTGGCGGCGCCCGTGACCACATGGGCACTGGCGGCGCCCCTGACCACATGGACACTGGCGGCGCCCCTGACCACATGGGCACTGGCGGCGCCCCTGACCACATGGGCACTGGTGGCGCCCCTGACCACATGGACACTGGTGGCGCCCCTGACCACATGGGCACTGGTGGCGCCCCTGACCACATGGACACTGGTGGCGCCCCTGACCACATGGGCACTGGCGGCGCCCCTGACCACATGGGCACTGGCGGTGCCCCTGACCACATGGGAACTGGCGACGCCCCCTGACCACATGAGCACTGGCGGCGCCCCTGACCACATGGGAACTGGCGACGCCCCTGACCACATGAGCACTGGCGGCGCCCCTGACCACATGGGAACTGGCGACGCCCCCTGACCACATGAGCACTGGCGGCGCCCCTGACCACATGGGAACTGGCGACGCCCCCTGACCACATGAGCACTGGCGGCGCCCCTGACCACATGGGCACTGGTGGCGCCCCTGACCACATGGACACTGGTGGCGCCCCTGACCACATGGGCACTGGCGACGCCCCTGACCACATGGGCACTGGCGACGCCCCCTGACCACATGGGCACTGGCGGCGCCCCTGACCACATGGGCACTGGCGACGCCCCCTGACCACATGGGAACTGGCGGCGCCCCTGACCACATGGGCACTGGCGACGCCCCCTGACCACATGGGAATTGGCGACGCTCCCTGACCACATGAGCACCTGAGACGTCATAACCGCAAGAATACCTGCAGTGTTATCAGGGGTAACCCTGTTACCGCTGTAACAAGGTTATCACTATTACCATCCTAAAACAGGAACCCGTTTTAAGCCGCGTGAACTTAAATCTGACATCAGAGACTCCAGAAGCATTATTTAAGTTAGGACTTTTAAATGAGGTTAACTTGGTGCAGTATATGTGAATGTAATTTTTTTCTGGGCAGTTAGAATGACGTTCAATAGATTTCTGACGTCATTTGCATCATCAACCTCATATGTGACCTAATTAAGCCAATTGCAAAAACTGAAGGTTCAATCGAAAACAGTGATTCGTTAACGAAAAGAAGATTCACTTAGTCGAGTGAAAGTTAGGTATAGTTCACTGCTGAGGGAAAAAGATAGATGTCGCAGTCTTGCAGAAGTCGAAGAGAAGCGCCCCAGTTTGGTCGTCCTGATATTCCGAAATAAGTCAATGGAAATGATCAAGTAAGCAGTGAAGACCATGTGATCGTTCTTATAGTAAACCATGCTAGAAAACGAGCCGGAGTGTATCCAGTGACGTTGTTGGAGTCTGACTCGTGGTAGCTGAAGATTGACCGCAAGTGTTCGTTACCTCTTTGTAGAGGTGTCATAAAGAATCTCTAGTTGTTATTACCCCAAAGAGAACACAGCCAGGTGTGCTACACTAACACCTGCCACTAACCGCAGGGAGGACACAGCCAGGTGTGCTACACTAACACCTGCCACTAACCGCAGGGAGGACACAGCCAGGTGTCCTACACTAATACCCGTCACTAACCGCAGGGAGGACACAGCCAGGTGTGCTACACTAACACCTGCCACTAACCGCAGGGAGGACACAGCCAGGTGTCCTACACTAATACCCGCCACTAACCGCAGCCAGGTGTGCTACACTAACACCTGCCACTAACCGCAGGGAGGACACAGCCAGGTGTGCTACACTAACACCTGCCACTAACCGCAGGGAGGACACAGCCAGGTGTACTACACTAACACCTGCCACTAACCGCAGGGAGGACACAGCCAGGTGTCCTACACTAATACCCGCCACTAACTGCAGGGAGGACACAGCCAGGTGTGCTACACTAACACCTGCCACTAACTGCAGGGAGGACACAGCCAGGTGTGCTACACTAATACCCGCCACTAACCGCAAGGAAGACACAGCCAGGTGTGCTACACTAACACCCGCCACTAACCGCAGGGAGGACACAGCCAGGTGTGCTGCACTAATACCCGCCACTAACCGCAGGGAGGACACAGCCAGGTGTGCTACACTAACACCTGCCACTAACCGCAGGGAGGACACAGCCAGGTGTGCTACACTAATACCTGCCACTAACCGCAGGGAGGACACAGCCAGGTGTGCTACACTAATACCTGCCACTAACCGCAGGGAGGACACAGCCAGGTGTGCTGCACTAATACCCGCCACTAACCGCAGGGAGGACACAGCCAGGTGTGCTACACTAATACCCGTCACTAACCGCAAGGAAGACACAGCCAGGTGTGCTACACTAATACCCGCCACTAACCGCAGGGAGGACACAGCCAGGTGTGCTACACTAACACCCGCCACTAACCGCAGGGAGGACACAGCCAGGTGTGCTGCACTAATACCCGCCACTAACCGCAGGGAGGACACAGCCAGGTGTGCTACACTAACACCTGCCACTAACCGCAGGGAGGACACAGCCAGGTGTGCTACACTAATACCTGCCACTAACCGCAGGGAGGACACAGCCAGGTGTGCTGCACTAATACCCGCCACTAACCGCAGGGAGGACACAGCCAGGTGTGCTACACTAATACCCGTCACTAACCGCTAGGAAGACACAGCCAGGTGTGCTACACTAATACCCGCCACTAACCGCAGGGAGGACACAGCCAGGTGTGCTACACTAACACCTGCCACTAACCGCAGGGAGGACACAGCCAGGTGTGCTACACTAATACCCGCCACTAACCGCAGGGAGGACACAGCCAGGTGTGCTACACTAACACCTGCCACTAACCGCAGGGAGGACACAGCCAGGTGTGCTACACTAATACCCGCCACTAACCGCAAGGAAGACACAGCCAGGTGTGCTACACTAATACCCGCCACTAACCGCAGGGAGGACACAGCCAGGTGTCCTACACTAATACCTGCCACTAACCGCAGCCAGGTGTGCTACACTAACACCTGCCACTAACCGCAAGGAAGACACAGCCAGGTGTACTACACTAATACCCGCCACTAACCGCAGGGAGGACACAGCCAGGTGTGCTACACTAACACCTGCCACTAACTGCAGGGAGGACACAGCCAGGTGTGCTACACTAACACCTGCCACTAACCGCAGGGAGGACACAGCCAGGTGTGCTACACTAATACCCGCCACTAACCGCAAGGAAGACACAGCCAGGTGTGCTACACTAATACCCGCCACTAACCGCAGCCAGGTGTGCTACACTAACACCCGCCACTAACCGCAAGGAAGACACAGCCAGGTGTGCTACACTAATACCCGCCACTAACCGCAGGGAGGACACAGCCAGGTGTCCTACACTAATACCCGTCACTAACTGCAGCCAGGTGTGCTACACTAACACCCGCCACTAACCGCAAGGAAGACACAGCCAGTTTGCTACACTAATACCCGCCACTAACCGCAGGGAGGACACAGCCAGGTGTCCTACGCTAATACCCGTCACTAACTGCAGCCAGGTGTGCTACACTAATACCCGCCACTAACCGCAGGGAGGACACAGCCAGGTGTCCTACACTAACACCCGCCACTAACCGCAGGGAGGACACAGCCAGGTGTGCTACACTAATACCCGCCACTAACCGCAGGGAGGACACAGCCAGGTGTCCTACACTAATACCTGCCACTAACCGCAGGGAGGACACAGCCAGGTGTGCTACACTAACACCTGCCACTAACTGCAGGGAGGACACAGCCAGGTGTGCTACACTAACACCTGCCACTAACTGCAGGGAGGACACAGCCAGGTGTCCTACACTAATACCTGCCACTAACCGCGGGGAGGACACAGCCAGGTGTGCTACACTAATACCCGCCACTAACCGCAGGGAGGACACAGCCAGGTGTGCTACACTAATACCCGCCACTAACCGCAGGGAGGACACAGCCAGGTGTGCTACACTAATACCCGCCACTAACCGCAGGGAGGACACAGCCAGGTGTCCTACACTAATACCTGCCACTAACCGCAGGGAGGACACAGCCAGGTGTGCTACACTAACACCTGCCACTAACTGCAGGGAGGACACAGCCAGGTGTGCTACACTAACACCTGCCACTAACTGCAGGGAGGACACAGCCAGGTGTCCTACACTAATACCTGCCACTAACCGCAGGGAGGACACAGCCAGGTGTCTTACACTAATACCCGCCACTAACCGCAGGGAGGACACAGCCGCGTGCGCTACAAGATAGCAGAGGACAGTGACCCTAGACGACAGTTCAGTGTAGACGGGTCGGGGGCGGTCTGGGTTGTGGCCGGCCTGGATCGCGAGACAGCGGCCGCCCACTCCGTGCTGGTGTGGGCGGTGGACGATGGCACCCCACCCAGGACTGCCACAGCCACCCTCACTGTAAGTATACTTGTTGTCACTGTATCAGTACTGTAATTACACATTTTATCACTGTATCAGCACCGTGAGTAAACGTTATCAATTTATCAGCACTGTAAGTGCACATGTCATCACTGTATCAGCACTGTAAGTACACATATTATCACTGTATAAGCACTAATCACAAACTAGTCTGTATGAGCACAGTAACATCCAGATGTTTCGTCAAGTTTACATCGTTTTGAATGTCCCTATCTGGCTTCTTTTCCTAATATGCTTCCCAGCCAAAGTGTGTTTTTTCTTACTATTTCGGTTGACCACTTCAGAAGGATGTGTTTGAATTTACTATCTCTTTGAACCTCCTCTCACTCGCCTCTCAAGCCATGACTTAAGATGAGTCCTACTTATCAGTATCCAATCATGTATTATCTTATATATATATATATATATATATATATATATATATATATATATATATATATATATATATATATATATATATATATATATATATATATATATATATATATATATATATATATATATATATAGTCATATATATATGACCATGGTCATATATGGTCAACCATATGCCTGAAGGCGACCTCACCCTGGCTGGGTGTTCTTCCTGCAGGTGAACGTGACGGACGTGAACGACAACCCGCCGTTCCTGGTGGAGCCTCGGGAGGTGGAGGTGGTGGAGAACGGCGGGGCCCAGGTGGTGGCCCGGGTGAGGCTTGGAGACCCTGACGACTGGCGCCAGGGCCACGGGCCGCCCTTCACCGTAGCCCTCGACCCCAGGGCGCCCCAGCACGTCCTCGACACCTTCAGAGTCACCCACGACAAGAGTGAGTTGTTAGGGGGCAACCAGAGGTAATTATCAGGAGAAAGTACTAAGCCATCATGACTATAGCGGCAACCAGAATGTCACAAAAAAATAACATGTCGATAGACAACATATCAGTTGATCAAATCTCCATTTTATCTATTGTTTATATATATATGTGTGTGTGTGTGTGTGTGTGTGTGTGTGTGTGTGTGTGTGTGTGTGTGTGTGTGTGTGTGTCGTACCTAGTAGCCAGAACGCACTTCTCAGCCTACTAAGCAAGGCCCAATTTGCCTAATAAGCCACGTTTTCGTGAATTAATTGTTTTCGACTACCTAACCTAACTTTTTTGGCTACCTAACCTAACCTAATCTATAAAGATAGGTTAGGTTAGGTTAGGTAAGGTTGGTTAGGTTCGGTCATATATCTACGTTAATTTTAACTGCAATAAAAAAAATTGACATCATACAAAATGAAATGTATGAGTTGAACAAGCTTGGAGTAGTTTCCTTAGAATGTTCGATGCACCCTTCTTGAGCCCGGATGGACACATGTATAAGCAAGTAGATGGGGTCGCCATGGGTTCTCCCCTAGGTGTCCTGTTTGAAAACTTCAACATCGAGCAAAAAGTCTTAGTCGACATGAACTTGAAACCGGCCATATACTGCAGGTATGTTGACGACATTTTTACACAGGTACCTGATGTCAGACATCTGCAGGAGCTGAAGGAGGCATTTGAGCAGAATTCTGTGTTGCGTTTCACTTACGAGATGGAGAAGGATGGGAAGCTGCCCTTTCTAGATGTAACAGTCATGGAAAGGAGCGGAGTTTTCCACACTGCAGTCTACACTAAGGAAACAAACATAGGAATGTGCCTGAATGCCAACAGTGACCTGCCAAGACAGGTACAAGAGGAGTGTTGTTAACGCTTATGTCGACCGTGCCCTCAGCCACAGCTCAGAATGGAAGCAAGTCGACGAAGAACTCTGTAGGGTAAGGCAGGTCCTAGTCAACAACGGCGTCTCCAATGGTTTCGTTGAAGACATCATAAGAAGGAAAGTGAAATGCCATGCAACCTCTGAGGAGACAACTAACACAACACCTATACCCCCCTATTAGAATATTTTACAGGAACTTCTTTTCCACAGCCCATAAAACGGAGGAAAGCGTCCTGAAAGATATTGTTAGTAGAAACGTTATCCCTACAGACAAAAATCAGAAGATACAACTGACAATTTACTATGAAACCAAAAAAAACGGTCAGCCTACTCATGAGAAACTCTCCAGACACAGAGCAGAACGCTTTAAAAGAGACCAACGTCGTCTATGTCTTCAAATGCCCTCTTGGGGACTGTAAGCCTCAAAAAACTCAGTATATAGGCAAGACAACAACATCTCTTTCCAGGCGTTTAACGATGCATAAGCAACAGGGCTCCATTAAGGAACATATAGTCTATTCCCACAACCAAACTATCACCAGAGAAATCTTAGCAAACAACACAGAAATCATCGATAGATACAGCGATAGCAGGCGGCTTGACATCTGCGAGGCACTACACATCAAGAAGTCAACACCAGCAATCAACAGCCAATTAATGCACAACTATATTCTACCCACTTCAAGACTCCGCTCCAATATAGAAGCATCAAGAAATATGGGCCAATAAAAATTGGCCTTCTGCAGTTACCTACCTTTAATACCCATTGTTTCGTGTCCTGTCTTGTGTTAAAAGTTTATTTTCACCTCATCCAAAACTGTTGTAACATGTCACCTCACCCAAATGTAGGTATAAAAACTCGAAGATGTTTAAGCTCTATTCAGTTAAAGTTGTGCATGTGTGTGTAAACTAGAGTCTTTGAAAATGTAATAAGTTTTACGAAACGCGCTCAAGTGTCACGTGAGACTAGAAATAAAAATGAATTTTGGAGAATTGATTTTTGAATTACCATCAACAGTGAAAAGAAACGTAAGAAAGATCAAGAAAATTCGTGTTAGAATTATTAATCTTACTTTTTCGGTCATATTTGAAAGAAATATGAACCAATAGGCCCTCTGCAATTACTTCCATTCTTACCTTCAATACCCATTGTTTCGTGTTCTATGCTGTGTTGAAAGTTTTGTTCACCTCATCCAAAACTGTTGTAACATATCACCTCACCAAAATGCGGGTATAAAATGAAAAATGAAAGCTGTTTAAATCATAGCATAAGTAAGAACTCTGTTTAGTGTTTGTAGGTAATAGCTGTGTGTGTGTAAATTAAGTCTTTGAAAATGTAATAAGTTATTACGAAACGCGTTCAAGTGTCGCGTCAGACTAGAAATAAAAATGAATTTTGGAGAATTGATTTTTCAATTACCATCAACAGTGAAAAGAAACATAAGAAAGATCGAGAAAATTCGTGTTAGAATTATTAATCTTACTTTTTCGGTCATATTTAATAATGTATGTCTACAGGAAAGACTGCTACTAAAATATATATATATATATATATATATATATATATATATATATATATATATATATATATATATGTATATTTTTTTTTTTAAACCTAGAAGGGGTACCACCTCTGGTGCAAGTGTAGAGACCCGTAGCCTTGGAGAAGAAAATAAAGAGTACTCAGAGAAGACCTTGTGGATCCTCACTGAACACTTTGATATTTTCTTCTCCTACCACCCCTATTCTTTTGGTAAGTATGTATATTTATCTAACTTTATTTGAAAATGTCATTACACAAAAAAAGTTACAATATTGATTACATACAGGGTACAAGGCTGCTTGTCACAAGTTGAACAGCTCCTCCAGCTCCTCAGATGGCGGGCAGGAACCATGGATGCAGTGAGCATTTCCTCTCTGGATTGCCACACTAAGGCGCTGAAAAAGAAAACTGGCAGCTCTAGGGTCTCTAATTGTTTCGATTAACTTAGACCCCAACTCCTTCAAAAAGCTAGCAGCACTTTTACCCCAGGCACCAAGTGTCTCTGAGGCAATGGGGACAAAATTGTAGTGGTGCTCAAGGTCTCTGTATTTACGTGACTTGGCCGCTTCCTGGTGATTGGCAGGTCCTCCTGCTTGTGTAGCTCTGAAGTCAACATAGGTATTGGCTAAAGTTGAAACGCATGTGTAGTCCCACACCAACTGTCTACCATTCTTCCAGGGGTTCACCGTAATTCCGTCTGGGCGACCGACAGGCTCATCAGAGTTGCGGGACATTAGGTAACGGGGCTCTCTCTCTGCTGGACAACCGGCTGTGGTAAGGCTTCTCTTATATATATATATATATATATATATATATATATATATATATATATATATATATATATATATATATATATATATATATATATATATATATATATATATATATATATATATATATATATATATATATATGCGGAAAATCCACAGAGAAATATGAAATGAGGTGAACGTTTCGGCTTTGTTAAAGCCTTTGTCAACACCAGACTGACTAAGGAGAAGGGAGAAGGAGGGAAGATATATAGGCCGACACCTGACCACCCCATCCCAAGGGTTGGTCAGGTGTAATTAACCAAAAACAGGTATAGCTTTAGCTTAGAATGGTCAAAGAGGATTAAGCGGTCAGAGAATAAGGATGAAAGATTAAAGAAAAGCCTCATGAACACACAATATATGAATATACAATTATAATGAGACATTGTAAGCCTCTCTATCAGAGTTGTTTCTTAAACTGTTGTGCAATATTATAACTTAAAAATGGATCAAGTTTGTACATTCCAGTACTAACATTAAGAAGATTTGGACACTGACTGATTAGAGCAGACTCAATCAAATTCCGTTCCACGAAATCCCCACAATTGGTAATGCTTTTTGCCCCATTCCAGTTAATATTGTGATCGCATAAACTCGTATGTAGATACAATGCATTAGACGTTTGGGCAGTTCTAATACTATAAGCATGTTGTGACAACCGCAATTGTAAGGACTTTCCTGTTTGTCCAAGGTACACAGAATCACAATCATTGCAGGGAATCGAATACACACAACCTGCTGTATCAGGGGAGTTTTTTATTAAATTGGATTTGATCGTACTATTAGTGAACACCAAATTTATATTAGGTTTCTTAAAAATCAGAGACAATTTTTCAAGTCCACTCGCATAAGGTACCACCAATGAGTTAATAATTTTTGGTTTCGCTTTAGGGACGTGATTATAAAACGTACGCTTGGCTTGTACAAACGAGAAATCCAAAAACCTCTTAGGATATTGTAAACTCTTCCCAATTTCATATATTTTAGCAATCTCTTCATCAAAAAACTCAGGGCTGCAAACCCTCAAAGCTCGTAGAAACATTCCTGAAAATACTGCCTGTTTAACTTTACTATGATGATTCGAATAAAAATGAACATACGACCCCACGTTGGTAGGTTTCCTATACACATTAAATTTGAACTTTCTAGTGACTCTATGAATCATAATGTCCAAAAACGGAAGAGTACCATTCTCCTCAGTCTCACAAGTGAATTTTATTGAAGGTACCAAAGAATTGAGTTCATTAAGAAAAACTATCTGGTCTTTGTCACACGGCCATAAGCACAAAATATCATCAACATACCTATACCAAACCACATTAGCCGGCATAATCCTGGATAAGATTTTTGTTTCAAAGAATTCCATATACAAATTGCTTAAAACTGGGGACAGGGGATTGCCCATCGCCATACCAAATGTTTGTTTGAAAAATTTTCCATTAAAACTAAAATAATTGTCTTTTATACACAATTTAATAAGTTCCAATACTTTATTGGTCTGCAAGCTCAAATTATATTTAGGCAGTTCCTCACGTAGAAATTCTAACAGATCATCAACAGGAACTTTAGTGAATAAAGAGGTCACATCGAAACTTATAAGTTTAAAATCAAAATTTAAATTCAGTGTGGATAGCTTATTAACTAAGTCCACATTGTTTGTCAAGTGTGAGTTGGAAATAGTACCAACTATAGGGGACAAAACTTTGACTAACCACTTAGAGAGTTTATA